CTTTTTCCTTCCTTCCTTCCTTCCTTCCTTCCTTCCTTCCTTCCTTCCTTCCTTCCTTCCTTCCTTCCTTCCTTCCCCTCCTTTCCCTTCCCTTCCCTCTGTCTTCCTACTTTTTTCTTTCTTTTAGTTTGTATTAGTTTTACTATTGAAATTATAATACTTAATAAAGATTAATAAAATTATTTAAGAAAAAAAATAGGCAAAACATCTCTCCAGCAAGAGAAGGCAAAGATCTAAAGGCCAAAAAGTATATTCAGAACTGTTCTGCAGTTAAACCCTTTCTAGACTATACCACATTACATGACAGATGGAGAAAATCTCAAGCTAGAACTTTCCTCTCAGAAAGAAAACCACATCTTTAAAAATCAAGTGTATCTAGGAAAAGTTAATTTTAGTTTATGCCCAGTTAGTCACCCCACTATTCAAACGTGAACTCTCTCCTCCCAACTACAAACTATTCCAGGCTACAAAGGGCTGTACCAAGGAACAGCTAGGAAATTAAGTTCTAAATGTATAGTTCAATTAAAGGAGGCCCAAGTCTAAATGCCAAAGGCTACATAAAACAGTTTGGAAGAGCAGGCTTATCAAGTGGGAGGGAGATTAATTAAAGACAGAAGTTGACTAATTAGCCGTGACAGAGAGAGGGAAAAAAGCAAATTTGGATTAAGGATCAGCTGCCAGCTACAAGGGAAGAGGACTGCCTACTGAGATCAGCAAAATCAGCATGTGCATAACATAACAAATATTTAAGATCTGTGAAATGATGTTTTTCCTACTCCCAAGTTTCCCCAAACTTCACATTTCCAAATGACAGCAGGGAAATAACTAGATTAAGGAATAGATAGGTTAAGGAATGATGAAGCAATTAGGGAACAACCAGGCACCTCTGAGCAAGAGACCTGAGTCAGATTGGCGGATACAGAAGGATGAAGCTTCTGTGCGTTTCAGGTAGACTGTGTCCTTGCGATATCCGTATGTAATCAACCCCAATTGCTTCCTCTCCTCACCTTTTCTGGCACTCAGCCAGCTTAGTAACAGCTCCAACAAGGTCTCGCATTAGCAAGTTTGGCATTTCCGAGCATCAACTTGATGCAAGTTTGGGCTGTCGCTTTCTTGTACAATTTGCACAGTGAAATGTTTGCTAGCTTGTAAAATTTACCTGTAACCAGTTCAGCAACTCCGCAAGTTCTTTTCCAACCACCCTGGTGTTGTTCACAGCGGTGGGGTAGAGCTGTTGGGCGAGAGCAAGCCAGTCCACCACCACCACGTTGGCCTCCTTCTCGCGTTCTTGTAGAGCTGAGACAAGGGTGTCCAGCCATCCTTCATACATGCCACCCATCTGGAAGAAGAATCAGGATATGACTCCATTCTAGTCATAGGAGGATTGTAACAAGGCCTTGAAATACCAATAAATACGTATTTTTTAATAGGAGGGATACGGCTGTTAATACATTTGGGGAGTCATCTTGGAGAAGACCTGGTTTCAACATCCCAAGCAAATGGCCAAAGACTTGGATGACCAGAGGCTGCATCCTGCAAGCCTTAGTCCAAATTTAGAAGAACCCAGTCAGGCAGAGAGGGCATGTTGCGGACCCTGTCAGCAAAAGGATGTCGGCTGGCGGGTCCAGGAGGAGAGCCTTCTCTACCGTGCCCCCCACCCTCTGAATATTCTCCCCCCAGAGGCACAGCAGGCCCCTACCCTCCCGGCTTTCCAGAAAGGACCGAAGACCTGGCTCTGCCAGCTTGCGTGGGACAATAAGAGTTTCAACCAACCCTGGGGGTGGCTGGTGCCCTGATGATGCTCCCTGAGCCTAATACTCACTAGTTACCTCAATCCTTGGAATATACTTATTTATTGAAGACTACTCTTATATTGTATTTTTAATTATTTTATCTTTTCTGTAAACTGCCCAGAGTCGCTTTTTACCGAGATGGGCGGTGACAAATTTGATATATAAGTAAGTAAGTAAATAAATAAACCTTGCAACCAATCCGTTCGGTTCTCTAGCAAGAATGATTTCTTCCCAGACAGCCTGTTGGGCTAGTGAATCAGAAGGGAGAGAGGAAATTGAGTGGCCCTTTGGTCCTGTCCACTGCAAACATGTGGCCTGCAACATTTTAACCCTAACCCCTTGATAGCTTATTCTATTATCCAAGCAAAAAGTAAAGACTCCCTGAATTCCACACAACTCTTGGTGACCACACGGACAATCCATGTACTCTTCTTGGCAACAGTGCACAGACATTCTTGCAGGATGTTTTTTTCGGCTTTCCAGGCTACCCTGCATCTTACGGATTTCCTGCTTAGTCTCCCTTCCAAATACCAACCAAGCCCAACCTGGCTTAGCTTTGGTTTTGGTTTTATATCAACCAAGGCCAGTTAGATGGAGCAACTTGCCACGGGTATAAATCTTGACAGCCCCACAGAAGGGATCTGCCATGGCTTTCTTCCAGGGTGTTTTTCTCAACTTCCTACTTTAGGTTTCAGTCTTGGGGTTTTCTAGTAGTCTCTCACCCAAAAATTAATCTGGTTTGATCCTGATGGTTTTTTTTCTAAATCAGCCAAGGCCAGCGGCTGGTTGCCACTTATCTCAAACTAGATTCTATGAACTAGGACCCTCCCAGTTCAGATAAGAACAAGTCTTCAACCTTGATAATTTTTGGACAGGTTTCCATACAATGGCATCCCCCTTCACCCCAGTGCCCCATGCCCAGATGAGGGATAATACTATTATCCCTTATTTGATTGTAAAGAAATTATAACACAAATTCAAGTGTTCTACTGGTGGCTTACAACACTCTGAAAATCACAACATTATTTAAAAAAAAAAAACACCATAAGGCTATTATTAAAATATACTGTTTCCCAAACTCAAAGTGGAATCACGATTCTAGAGTTGGCCCTTCTTAACTTAAAGTAGCATAAGCGCATGAGGACCTGATGTTGACCACCATACACTGATGCACCACGCAACCTCCCCTCCACTTGCTCAGAAATTTCCTCCCCCACACACATTAATACAACTTGTTCTTAACTGCATTGGGACAAGTACATTTCTTTTCTTGTTTGCGGGGGGAAGAATTTTGAAAAGCATGTAGCTCAGGGAGGGGATTTTCCCCAACTATACACACTAGCCCCAACCCAGAAAGTTCTACCCTGCTTGCATTAGACAGTTAAAAACAGAAAGGCAGTCCCATGCTGGATATTTAATGTATCATGTAGTTCAGCCCTTAGAAGTCATTAACTGCCTGTATTTGATTGTCTGGGTCCATAAAGTGATTTTTTTCCTCTTTTTTGGGGTGGGGTGGGGGGAAGGACTCTGCCATATTTTTCTTTCCAAAAGGCATAAAAATATCTGGGGATGATCCTATTACTCTCACACAGCAGGCTGCATATTACCAGGGCAAGTGGACAGGGACTGACTCAACCACTGATGGACTCCCAATTATTTTCCCAGGAGCCCATGGCTTTACAATCAAATGCCTTCAGATGAATTGCAAATAACAGACTGATACATTTAAGTGAGGTCTCAGTCTAAAGTACTAGAAATGACAAGCGTAGAAGGTACCTTCCATCAAGAAAGATCGGTGGTTCAAAGCTGTATATAACTTGTGTTTAGATACAGCAATGCTGCCAAAAATTAGTCACTGTAAATAATCACAACTTTAATTCGGGAGCTTGTCATGTGTTGTGGAGCTCAGTAATGTCCTTCTACTTACTGTCCATCCATGAATAATGAAGAAGCTTTTTGCAGACACATTGAACTTGCAATCATCTAGGAGCCCGTCTTGGCCAACAGTGAGATAGCAGCCAGCATCATTTGGATTTGGGGTGGTACGAACAATGAATTTCACTTGTAGATTCTGAACTTTGGGTGGTTCTTCTCTCAGCTTTAGCACTTGAGAAACGTTATCATCTGGAATAAAAGCATTTAGAATTTAGCATCACTCATCTGTAAGTGATGTTGAACAAATAAATTGAACAAATACAGAATCTATCTTCCTAATGCAGCCATCCCCCTTGGTGCCCTTGAAATGTGTTGGATTTCAACCCTCAGAACTGGAAGCCGAAATCCAGCATATCTGGAGAACATCAGGTTGGGAAAAGCTGACTTCATATTGAATGGCTATCAGGTGCTGGTAACAGTGTAACTTGGCACAGTTCCCCTGTCCATTCACTGAGAAAGCAGAAAGGCGTTTGCATCTGAAATAGACCTTTCCACATTTCATCTACTCAGGTCTGATGACTGTATCAAGGATACCTACAAGAATTTCCTATTCTCCACAAGCTGATTCAATAAATATCTGGCAGCTTTTCAAACTGTTAAAATGCTCTTGTGGAAACTCAGATGAGTCAGCTGCAAACCCACAGACAGCCACCATGGAATGACTTTGGCCAAATAATTTTTTGTTCTGAGACCATGGAGACCTGCCTCAGAGACAAACAATACCGTATATCTCTTTATCACACTAAGCCATTTTTATAACTTCTGGGTGCTAACTTTCCACACAAAACCAATCTGAGGCCAAGAATCCACCCAAACCGGAGAAGAAAACTAGCCCTGTAAAAATTCATATCATCCTCTCCCCTTTGGCCAATGATCTCAAGACATCCCATTTTTATCCTCATGTAACTGGCCAAGAATCTTGGGTTAAGAATGGGCCACAAAGCACCCTGTGTCGGCTGAGCAGGAGGAGGAACTTAGACCCACCCCCCAGATAAAGCAGAACGCAGCTTATTCCACCAATGTCTCCTCTCCACTCTTTAAACATCTGCTGCACGAAGTCAGTTGGTTTTCAAAACTGCTGGAAAGATTTTCCACATCTTCTTGGCTGCAGCTGAAGTCCCACATGCTTGCAAGTTGCAAAATGGGAACAGGGTGGCTTCTAGCATGCCGCCTAAACAGAAGCTAGTTCTGGATTGCCCCACTACCCTTTTGCTTGAATTGTGACACTGAACGTTGCCCACAGATGCACATCGGTGGCTAAAAGAGGCATTGGTGAGAGGCTGTATTCCGTGGAAATTCTCTGCTGTTACTCACTTTTCCTCTGGAAACTTTAAAGGTTTCTGAGAGGGGCAGGAACATGTTCAGAGGGGTTTTTTTTAGACTGTTGTAACCCCACTGGTTCTGGAAATTCAAGGGGAACACAATATTTTGGGGGGGGGCAAGGGCCATGTTTTCACCTTGAGTGGTACGCTGTGGTCTAAAAACAAGGGTATCAGAGGGGAATTAAAAAGTCTAGATAGAGCCGGGATTGTGCGATCAAAGCCCCGCCCCTTTTTTACACGTGTTGCACGACCACATTTATGCAACACATTTTCCTTGATGACTCAGTGAAATCATTTGCCAGGTTTGCATAATATCTGGAGACATAAACTAATAAAATGGGGTGTTAACCCTAACCAAGTTTAGCATATTAGGGAGCATGCTAGATAATTAAGGAAGCTAGTTAATCGTGTTGTGCAAATACAGCTTATGGGTGTTCAGCAGAATGCCTGCTTGTTCAAAGTGCATACAAATAAGACTCTGTGGGCATCTTCAGCATTCTGCCAAATGCACCCTCCCAAATTGCATGCAGACTTTGTACATATTGGCTCCTGGGATACAACGTGTCAAAAGACATGCAGAAGGGAGGCAGACTGTACAGAAGTGATTTTTTGGGGGAAAAATGATTGTATGTATAGATTGAGTTTATGATTCTGTTGTGAAATGCCATGTGTATATATGAATGGGTGGTATCTAAATAAATTTGTCTCACTCACTCTTGAGGGACCACATTCTACACCAG